GTTCAATATTTATGTAAAGCCGCTGGGCGAGATCATTCGTGGCTTTGGGGTGGATTTCCATCAGTACGCTGATGACACTCAGCTGTACATTTCCACCCCAGGCCACCCCAACGATGCCCTTGACGTGATGGCCCGTTGCCTGGAGGCCGTACGGGTCTGGATGGGGAGGAACAGACTCAGGCTCAACCCTTCCAAGACCTAGTGGCTGTGGTTGCCGGCGCCTCGGCATAGTCAGCTGACTCCATCGCTGACTATAGGGGGCGAAATTTTGGCCCCCTCAGAGAGGGCGCGCAACTTGGGAGTCCTCCTGGATCCACGGCTGACATTGGATGACCATTTGTCGGCCGTGACCAGGGGGCCGTTTTATCAGGTTCGCCTGATTCACCAGTTGCGACCTTTTCTGGACCGGGACGCCTTGCGCACAGTCACTCATGCTCTCGTCACCTCCCGCCTGGACTATTGTAACGCTCTCTACATGGGGCTCCCTTTGCGGAGCACCCGGAGGCTTCAACTGGTCCAGAATGTGGCCGCGCAGGCGGTGTTGGGAGGGACTCGTCGCTCCCATGTAACACCGCTGCTGCGCGAGCTGCACTGGTTGCCAGTGGCCTTCCGGGTGCGCTTTAAGGTGTTAGTTACCACCTTTAAAGTGCTCCATGGCATCGGACCTGGGTATCTCCGAGACCGCCTTCTGCCACAGATTCCCTCCCATAGACCGGTACGCTCCCACAGAGTGGGCCTCCTCAGGGTGCCGTCGGCCAAGCAATGTCGGCTGGCGACCCCCAGGGGGAGGGCCTTCTCTGTGGGTGCCCCCACCCTCTGGAACAAACTACCCCCCGAGATCCGGACGATTCCGGATCTCCTTACTTTCCGCCGTGCCCTCAAGACATGGCTTTTCCAGCAAGCGGGCCTGGCCTAGGGAGGATTTTAAATCGGGTTTATTTTAAGAACAATTTTTAAGTAGCACAACCTCAAATATTTGGTTTTAATTGGTTTTATTTGGAGGGGCTGTAAATGCGTTTATGTTTTTAATATGTTGTGAGCCGCCCTGAGTCCCGTTGGGAGAAGGGCGGGATATAAATCAAATAAAATAAATAAATAAATAAATAAAATAAAATGGACAGTTCCCCTTGCTAATCTCTGTCGTCGTAGTGAAAGGGTAGAACGACAGACCCCTTGATTACTTATTTCTAAAGAGATAGTTAGTCTTATCTCGATCTTCCCTGGAACCTCCAGTAAATCAGTAGTTCGTCCTCTAGTATATGGTAAAGTCTGTTCACCGACAGGTCAGAGAAGAAATTTTGAAGGTCACTACAAGCATCTACAACTTCTGAAGGCAAGCTGTTCCGCTGATTAATTGTCCTCACTGTTAGGAAGTTTCTCCTTAATTCCAGATTGCTTTTCTCCTTGACTAGTTTCCAGCCACTGTTTCTTGTCTTGCCTTCTGGAGCTTTGGAAAATAAGTTGACCCCTCTTCTTTGTGGTGGCCCTTCAAATACTGGAATACTGCTATCATGTCACCCTAGTCCATTTTTTCTCTAGATTGGCCATACCAAATTCCTGCAACTATTCTTCATATATTTTTGTCTCCAGGCCCTTAATCATCTTAGTTGCTCTTCTTTGCACTTTTGCCAAAGTCTCAACATCTTTTTTGTAATGTGGTGACCAAAACTGGATACAGTATTCCAAGTGTGGTCTTACTAAGGCTTTATAAAGCGGTATTAATATTTCATTTGATTTTGGTTCTATACCTCTGTTTATACAACCAAGGACTGTATTAGATTTTTTGGCTGCTGCTGCACACTGCAGACTCACATTTAAGTGATCATCTAGGACTCCAAGGTCCCTCTCACAGTTACTATTTTAGAGCCAGGTTTCGCCTAATCTGTACTTGTACTTTTGGTTTTTCCTGCCTAAGTGTAAAACCTTGCTTTTATCCACATTAAATTTCATGTTGTTGGATAGGACCTATTGTTCTTTTCTTTTACCATTACAGCATAGAAGAAATGTTCCTCTAAGCAGAATCAGATGACTAAGAGAGTTAGAAGTCTGTTTCTTCCATGGCCAGCTGAGATGTTGCAGAGAAGGCTGGCAAGCACGTTGGGACAGTGGTTCTTTCTCTCCAGAGCACCATCCATTTAGCCACATTGCCTGGGAAGGGTAAGCAAGAAATAGAAGTTGGAAGATCAGTTCTTTTTCATTTGCATTTTTGTCTTCAAAAAGAGAAAAGGAGATGGAGTCATTGGCTCCAGTCTTCTCTCTAGGCAAATAATGCTTGTCATTTTCTCTGCTCATCTGCCCCTTCATTTCCAGCAGGGCATCCATATGTTTACAGACACTTATCTCAGAAACTGTAAGACTCCACCTTATTTAATTTTTAAATATTGTTTTGAATTAGAAAACAAAAGGAAAGGAACAAAAATGGGAGACCAGCAGGCTGCAAATTAAAGCACCAGCCTGTGACATAATCTGTATTCCAAGGATACTTCTAGGTCCCAAATACATGCCAATTTCCAGAGAATTCTTGGAAAATGAAGTGGCACAAGACTTTGTTTGGAAGAGATCCCACTTGTCTACAAAAAAGACAAAAGAAAATTGAACTGGTAAACAGCAATCTGGGAAACTAAAGATGATAAGGATCCCTTTGCCTTCTACTAGAGTTGTGCACAATTGTGATCCAGTCCACCATAGAGACACCACTGTTCTTGTCTTTAAGGAGATATTGACAGGTACTGCCAGTTTGGGCTTGTGGTTAAGAGATTGGGTTAGAATCTGGGAGACCATAGAACAGATTTTTGTTATTTGGGTAAGGTTACAATCCACCAAAACCATTATAAAACCAAATAAAATAATTAATATATTTGTCAGAAAAGATACTGTAAAACTTGTTTGAATTTATTTTTCCACCTTTATTATTTGATAACTCAAGGCAGCTAACATACTTAATACCCCTTTCTCCTCCTATTTTCCCCAAAACAACCCTGTCAGGTGAGTTGCACTGAAAGAGAGTGATTGACTCAAAGTCACCCAGCCAGCTTTCATGTCTAAGGTGGGAGACTCCTGGTTTCTAGCCTGATGCTTTAACCACTTCACCAAACTGGCATATTAATAGTAAATAGTACAATTATAATAACAAACTAGTAAACTTCATAATAATGAAGAAGACACACTAGACATTCCTTAAAACATAATGAGTGTGAAGTCTCAGAAGTAAAAGAGGACCATTTCAAAGAATGAGTATCACAGTGGTTCTCAACCTGTGGGTTGGGACCCCATTTGGGGTCGATCGACCATTTCATGGGGGTCGCCAAGCAAGGCTGTCCGCCATTTTTTTTGTCCGCCATTTTTTTTGTCCGCCATTTTTTCCCCTTTTCCGGCAGGTGCCTTACCTCCCTTGGGCTGGGCCAGCTGGTGGTCGGCCTGCTCCGTCTCTGCCACTTGCCAGCTACGCCTCGGCCGGCACAGGGGGTGGAACCACGCATGCGTGGCGCTCCCGGGCAGGGAAAGTCCTCAACTTACGACTGGTTGGGTAGTCCTCGACTTACAACCGGTTTAGTCCTCGACTTATGACCTGTTTAGTCCTCGACTTACGACCGGTTGGGGTCGCGGCATTAAAAAGGTTGAGAACCACTGGAGTATCACAACAGAGAAGACCCTCAACTCTCCCTAAATTTATTTTATATGTGTATCACTGTGAAGATCCATCTCTGCAGATCTGAATGTTCTGGGGATATGCTCTTGGACAAACTAAACATGAATGCTGTTTAAACATTATTACGGTACTAGACCTTTCAAATTCACCTGCTAAGCTCCAGGTAGCCCGTACAGTTGTAGACGAACCGTGCCAAGTGCTCTTTAAAAGGGCATAAGATTTGCAGCCATGTTGAGCATTACCAGCAACTTCCCAGTTGTCTTCAAAGCAAATCTCCAAAGGACACATGGCAGTTGTCAAAACTGGAGCTTGGAGGACCGTAGCTAAGTTATCTCTGTGAAAGAAAGAACTTGACCACTGTTTGCAGCTACCTATAATAACAAAATGTCTATTGTGATGCCACAATGCAATTTCATACCTTTTATACTTGTTGCAGGCAAATACCTAAGGGGCAGCTTGCATTACAACGTTACAATGGCCTTTCTCCCACGCCGGGTGTGACAAGATGGCACCCCCAATGGTGTGGTTGAATCTTGAGGGCTGCATTCACCCAGCATGAACCCGATCCCAATAAACCACTTGAACGATAGGGCAGGCTTGAGTTGGGATGGGGGAAAGAACGTGAGCACGATGGCTTTTTTGCGCCTAAGCCTAACAATCCTCCCAGCCAAGGCGCTAAAACGATGGCGCAAGATAAAGGAGGCTGTTGCTTTTTCTAGATCGCGCACATTTTCATTCCCCGAGAAAAAAAGGCCCCCTTCTTGTATGTTTCATCCCCCCCCCGTGGCACCACAGGGGAGAAGAGCCTGCTGTTGATTCTCGGCTGGCCTGACCCTCCCCAGGAGGCGATCCAGGAGCGGCGTCTCCAAGCCCCCGTTGCGCCCCAGGCGCGCGTTCAGCTTTTGGCGGAGTTTTAGGTAGACGGAAGATGCGCTGGGAAATGCCAGGGGAGGCGGTGGGGCGGCAGCTGCGCTCCCCGGACTGGCACTTTTCCAGCCAAGAGGATTTGGCATATTAAGTCGACTCCGCACGTGCCTGCGCCATCCACCCGTGGGCGTGGCGCAGCGTGGCGCGTAAAACTCTCTCTAGCAAAGCGAGGGCTGGAGACGAGCACAGCGGCTGGGCTTTCAGAGGCCGGCAGAAGGAGGAGGGGCTGCCACGGCTGCTACTAACCGGCTGAGCTAGGCGAGCGAGCGAGCGAACGAACGAACGAGCGGTTTCCTTGGCAGGCACCAAGTATGGCTTCGTCGCAAGGCAAGACTGAGTTGAAATTCGCCGACTGGATGGCAAGTTTGCCCCAAAGCATCCAAAACGTGCCGCTGGCAAATCTGGCCATCCCAGGTAGGAACCGAGGTCGTTGGGGAGGGGGGGCGTTGTTTTTTTTTGTTGGATGTTTGCTTGGTTTCATTGGTGGGAAGCTACGAGACGGCTGAGTCTGAATCGCGCCTGGAATAAATAGCTCCTTTGCCTTCTCGGAAAGGTGACATTGGGCGCTCTCTCCATGCAGCGCCTGCTATCTGATGGGGATTGATAACCGAATGTGATGGCGGACTGGGGATCATGACATACTGCCCCGTTTCATAATGACAGTCTATCTGTAGGGATACAACCCCCGGTCTTCGTTTTCCGCTTAAAATAGATGATAGATCATCTAAAATAGAGATCTAAATAGAAGTCACATCGCTATCCGTGGTGCTGAAATATTCTCCGATCTCCCAGATCCAGCTGGGAGATCGGAGAACAAGAGAAGAAAGTTACGGCTCGTGAAACCATACATTTATAGCTGTCTTTTCCGGACTTTTAGGACTGCATAGATCGATATCTCCATAACACCCTGGAAGGGTCCCACGAAGTGATGTGTGTGGTGCGATCACTTTGGTTTGTCCACACATTGCATGATTTTTTTTTTTGATTCATTACACTTGCCTACTATTCTGTGAGGGTAGCAAGTGTAACTCAGATTAGATATCCAAAACCTCACCGTTTTGGGGTTTTTGTTTTTGTTTGCCCTGAACCGGACACATAAGTATGCACACACTCCATGCTACCCCATCCTTCTGTTTACCACACTGGGGAAGTTCAATATTTGAACTAGCAGACAGTTAATGCTATGCCCCTGTCATGTGAAGTTAAGATGAAAATTCTGTTATGAATTTGGTGGGTTCACATATTTTCTTGATGCTGCAGTGATTGAGTAATGGATGTGCATGTTAAAAAGGTAGATGTATATGTATTTACCATATAGAGGGGACAAGCAGTTCAATTTGATAGATACTAGGTTCTAACATACAACTGGTTGGCAAAAGCTTTTGAGATTGCTACTTCTGACATAGCATAAGACATGAAAAATCTGCTAGTACAATATTCAACATAGATGGCCAGGCACCGCTGTCATTTCAAAATTACCTACCTTCACAATGCCTGTCAGAGATAACCGTGGTGGGACAGGGAGCTTTGAATAGCAAAATCCTATTTCTCCTTTGAAGGTCTTGAGGGAAGTTTTATCTAATTTTTGTCTTACCTGGAAGGATTATTGTGGAGATAAATTATTATAAATTTTACATGTTCATGGAGGATTGTTGCCATAATTGGGCTGTGAATATTTTTCTTCACAAAAAAGTCAGCTTCCAAAAATAGTTAATTTTCTTAACACACACAGACATGGGGTTATTCAACTGAATAATTGAGACTTTGTTGTTGTTTTTGAGTTTGTTTCATTGTTATTGCTCATCAACATCATCTACAATTTCCTGGTTTATATCACCTTGAGCTTTTTTTGTGAATATCTAGATACTGTATACAGCTCTGGATCCCGACCATTTCAGCTTTATAGCTGCATAAATAATAAATCAGTGTGGTATACCTTTTAAGCTGCCTTTATGAAAATCTCTACACGCTAAGTGCATTTTAGATCCAAATGCACAGCACACAACACTTGTAATAATACAGGAGGATGAAAAAGGTATTTAAAGAATGCATGTGTGTGAGGGGGGCTTAAGTAAGTTTCAGATTTGTCTTCTATATGATCTGGAAAAAGGATGTGTTTTTAAAATTTAGAAGACTTTAGGATAAAAACAATGCTTACTTATTTGGTGTAATCAATCAAACAATCAAACAATACAGAACAACTAGAATTATAAAAACAGATGATACTTCAAATATTTCCATGAATTTTACTACTTGTATTTAGTAAAGAAGACAAAACAGAGATAAAAATTAGATGGCTTCTGGGGGAAGGATATATTCTAATATGTTCTCTTAATAATTACCTGATTTGAAAGGAATTTGTTTGCAAAAAAGCATTTTGACAGAAAGAGGGAGGGTGACAGAGAAACCTTTTGTATTCTGTAGTACAAAGGAATTCTCTGTTAATTGCTAATTGAAATCTAATATATGCTAATTGAAATCTAGTGCATGCAAATAGGTTAATTGCTCTGACATAGAAAGTGGATAGCTTGCTGATTGAAGATATGTTTATTTGGCTACTTAAATTTAAAAACAAAACACAATTATTCCTCTCTCTTCTATGCCCCCTCCCATCACATAAGTTTGTTTTTTTTTTAAAAAAACATCTTAAGCACTATAGTTAGATAACCTTTCTTGATTACTGAGTAATTCAGGTGCCAGGACTACAATGAGGACTAGGTTTATGTAAAGCATGAACAGCATTTAACAATAGACGATGAGGCCATCTGTGGGTGGTTGGCATTTAATCTTGCTGTTGAACACATTCCAGACATGTCATAGCTCAGTTGTAATGCACCTGCTTTGCATGCTAAATATCCCAGTTTTGTTCCTTGATGTCTCTAGGTATGGCTGGGAAAAACTGTAGCTTTCAGTAAACAAGTGATTCCCCATCAGATTGGGAGCCTATTGAGAGCCCTTTCAGAGTAGATTGAGTGAGCCCTGGACAAGAAATAGGTGGAAATAATACATGAGATTACTCTTAATTTTTAACTGAAAAATAAACCTTGAATCTGAGAAAGACTCAGATTGATGGTTCTACTGGACTTCGGGCTTCTAAGTATAAGGTGCACGTATGCTCAGGTGAAGTATCGTAACTGGAAGAGATTGGATATACTGGTGAATATTTTTATAACCCTGCTGCCTTTTGAGTGAGTTCTCTGTGCAAGACAAGATGTGTTAGCTTGAAAACCCTCCCCTCCCCCCTCCCCCCAATGCTGATTGTGCCATTGTCTGAACTGGTTGCGTGTATTTCCTTCTTTCCTTCAGCTTTCTCTGACTTCATCCTCTAAATATGTTGGATCATAGTACACTTCTTATCAGAGAGCCTCTTGAACTGTGGAAGTGATCTGAAAGTGGAGTTGAGAAAAGCAACTTTGTTCCAAAGCCACCCTTGGGATTTCATTCCTAAACACTTATTTGAATTGACCTTGGCAATATCAATAACAGCTTTTGGTTCTCTTTCATGGACGGTAACAAAAGATAATTCCCTTTTTCTTAATAACTGTGGTCAATATAAGCAGGAGAAAAAGAGCTTGATGTATCAATGCACTGTACCTGTATTTACCTGGGAGTAATGATTATGAATATGAGTGGATTACTCCTACTAAACAGTTATGGAACTATACTGAAAGTGTCTTCTTCTGCCAGACCAAGACAAACATACACAATTTTGGGTTGACTTAAATCTTAAATCTTCAGAATGTAAACATGATAACTAGACTTGACACAATGATTGCATAGTTAATTATTTAAAAGTTTATTCTATCTATGAATTTGGGAAATAATAATAACAATAATAAAGTTGGAAGGGACCTTGGAGGTCATCTAGTCCAACCCCCTGGTCAGGCAGGAAACCCTATACCATTTCAGACAGATGGCTGTCCAGTCTCTTCTTAAAGACTTCCAGTGTTGGAGCATTCACAGCTTCTGGAGGCAGGTTGTTCCACTGATTAATTGTTCTAACTGTCAGGAAGTTTCTCCTTAGTTCTAGGTTGCTTCTCTCCTTGGTTAGTTTCCACCCGTTGCTTCTTGTCCTGCCTTCAGGTGCCTTGGAAAATAGCTTGACTTCCTCTTCTTTGTGGCAGCCCCTGAGATATTGGAACACTGCTATCATGTCCCCCCTCATCCTTCTCTTCATTAAACTAGACATACCCAATTCCAGCAACCGTTCCTTATATGCTTTAGCCTCCAGTCCCCTGATCATCTTATAGTCACAACATATTTGAAGAGCACCCAGAGGGCATCTTTTAAAAAGCTGTATTATTGATGTTTATGTTTGACTATTAAAATAGATCCCATGGTTTTTCCAACTGCTTTGAAAAACTCTTACCTGCTTTTGTCAGCAAGAACAACCCTGTGAAAGTGAACTTCCATGTTTGAGGGTGGAGTAGAGTTTGGATCTCAACCGTTCTGACTCCACTATGTAACCAGTATACTGGCTTCATCTGCTTTAGTTGGATTTCATACTGTATACACAGTCCTTGACTTGTGACCAGTTGCTTAGCAACTGATCAAACTTTTGATTCAATCTCCCCAAAGGTACTTATGATCCAGTTCTGATCCAGTTCTGATGGCCACCCTCTGCAGTCACGTGATCGTATTGTGAGCACTCAACTGGCCCATACCTATGACCTTGTGCAGCATCCTGCTGCCATGGGACTGCAATTTATGACATTTTTTGCTAAAAATCAATATTTACTTCTGGTTTCTGGAAAAAATGGTCCATGGGTTTGCTTAATGACCACCGCATTCACTTAACCTTTCCACAAAGATTGTAAAATCAGGTCAGTTCCTGTGGTTTATCCTTTTTATGATCATTACAACTTATGACCATAATTACCAGTGTCGATTATAGTCATAAGTTTAGGACTACCTGTACTTAAATTGTGATGTTCATTGTGGGGGGGGAGGTTGTTTTCAATAAATATCTCTCCAACTTTCCCCTGTGTTTTTTTAATTGATCAATTAATATAATGATCACTTTTAACTTTACATTTAGAGAGAATATTCCCTAGAAGAAAGTATATCAAATGATACTGAAGTTGGCTACTTATTCCCAGTTTTGCTTTCATGAATGATCTGAAGAGAATCAATGAATGTATATATACACATAAAGTTCATATAATGCTGAGTCTAATATTAAGCATAGCTTTAGCCCCATATCATATCTTATCTTGATGATTGAGTTACTCTGTCCTTTAAGATAAATGGTAAGTCCTCTAACAAAAGTAATATTTTTGGGGGCAAGAAAATATCCGACAGTGTGCAAATCATCCTTTCCTTCTGGTTTTTTTTTTCCTGCATGTGTTGGCCCTCTAACGTCTGAAATTCCCAGTCTTTGGCCATGCTGAAAATTCTTGAAGTTAATGTCCCAT